CTGCTTCTTTTTATTTTTTTATTAAAATAAATTAACCCTTTCCTATATAAAAAATATTTTTAATTATATTTTTTTTTCCTCAAAAGCAAGAAGAAACTATGTTCTCTTGCAATTGACGAGTTTTTGGTTATGTCGTGATTAAGTATTTATGCTGGTGAAGGTACCTTGATTTGCACGGAATCGTTGCCTTTTTTCACGCTGCATCACTAATTCTCTTTTCGAGAAATTACTATTTTTGGATATCTCTCTCTCTTTGGTCCTTGAGATTTCGATTCTTTGAACGAGCACACAACTCGGATCGTATTCTAATATTGGAAAAGTCTCTAATGATGCCAAATTAACAACTATTGACAAGTGTTATCAAGTGTTTTTGTTTGATTATTACACACGGACACAAATTCTTACGGTCAAGTAAGAAACTACATGCTTACTATTTTATTGTACTACTTTGTAGTTATAACATTTGAAACTCTCGGTTTACGAAAAAAACAAAAAAACAAAAAAACCATTTGAAACTCTCATGTGATTTAAAGATGAGTTTTACATATACTTGAATTTAATTTCATTACTTTGCAAAACAAAATGATAACACGTCGATGATCTATATACTTGCGTGTATATATGTATATTCAATTTATTCATAAGTTTTCTTTTGTGATTGTACATATGTGTATACTGTATACGGTACATAGAAAAGGTATCTAGTTTATCGATCGATTTATACATTTACATAGATTGTGGGTTGAGAAAGACCCAGCAAATGGTATAATTGTCATTTGAAATCACCGCGCGGTCTTACTTATCGTATTCTTTCCCAAATTCTTAGAGTTTCTTGTATTGTTACGTACATTTCTCAATTGTATGTTGGTGACTAATAAAAAAAAATGTGTCTCTAAATCTGAACTGATAACTTTTCATTTTAAGAAGATCAAATATGACATTCTAGAAATTTTGATCGAAATATATATTACAAGTTGACAAAAATAGGAGCAAAAATCAAAATATGAAGAGAGCATAGGATAAGCGCCTAACAGTGACATTCTAGCGAAGGTAGAAACATGAAAGCTAACAGAGTATATTACGTCCCGGTTTTTTTTTTGTTTTTTTTAATAAAATTTCTGGTATTATATATATCAAACTTTAGAGATTACATAAAGAGTAGGTGCCACAACGACAACGATCTCCCGGGTGAACAATCCCGGTACACGAACCAAAGTATCCGAATATAGTAAACGAAAAGAACTAGAGATAGAGTCCTCTAAACCATAACCCGAGCAAGCCTTGAAATATTACGTCCCGGTTGCAGAGTAGCATGTAAGATTCTGGTGCTCTCTCCTTGCAAACATAGTATTATACTCTAAGATTCTGGTGCTCTCCTTGAATTTGCCATCAAGGATTGACTAGCTCTTATGATTGAGGAAAAGGGCGCGATACTACTACTTCTTATGGAAACGAACGTCCAAGCTTTTGAATGAGTATCTTGAAGCTAACATTGAACGACTCTTAATTATGACTCTTAATCCGATTAGGTGGATTAGTTTTTCTTAGATTTCTCTATCTTTTTGTCTTGTTTTCACACTTAAAAAGACTTTCATTGATTACAAAGTAGTTATACATAATTATGATATAAAAATGAATGTCTACGTAGATTATTATACAAATGATTACATACGTAGTTACGAATCTATCTTTATCCCTATCAAGGCCGGCTTAAAAATAGCCAATGAAAGTTATAGTCCCTGTTGAATTATTTTTAAAATGGGCCTTAATTACATATAATTTTTTTTCCAAAATGCCTTAAACACACTATTTTTTAATGTTAATTTAACATAGTCATTGGATATGTCTATCGCTGACACTGATCCTTATTCCTAACGTTAGTTGTATTGTTAACAAATGTTGCGTCGCGTAATATGATCCCCATTATCATCTAATTTAGCCTTTGGTACGGTTACAATTCAAATGGTATGAAATGTAAAAAAGGCGGCACAGCAAATTGTTTTCTAATACTACATAAAACGACCGTACGTAAAAAAAAATGACTTAAGGTGTTACCATAAAAAGATGTAATTTTCCAAATATATTTGCAACGAAAAATATTGTAAAATAACATAATTTTATAATTTTTGAAAAAACAATTATAGGTCATATACCTTTATGATATGGAATTCATTACAATTATCTATCTTGTAATATATGTTTTAATCCAAAATAGCAAAATTCTTTAAGACATGCATGGAAACCAAAAAAGAAAAAAAAATTCAAAGAGAAAATAAAAAAAAAAGAAAACTCTAAAAATAGGGAGAGGTTAAAGTTCAATAGTCCCCAACCCACCAAATATGGACGAAGGGAATAGCGAAATGGTAGGAGACCCCAAAGAAGACGAGAAAAACAAGGAAAAACATTCGTCTAAAAAAACCCTATAAAAACGCCTTCAAACATTTCCACAACTCGAAATTCAAACCCCAAAGCATAGTTATATAACAATAGACAATATAGTAACCCCACCACACACCAAAACACATAAAAATCTAAAACTATTATCCCAAGAACCTAAAATTGTTTATTGTTATGCGAGGGGTTAAACTCTTGGCCGCGTGCCTCTACCTGGCCGCAGCCGCTACGGTTGTGGTCCGAGCAGAAGACCCTTACTTCCACCACGTGTGGAACGTAACCTACGGAACCGTGTCTCCTCTCGGCGTTCCACAACAAGTCATTCTCATCAACGGCCAATTCCCTGGTCCCAACATCAACTCAACCTCAAACAACAACATCATCATCAATGTCTTCAACAATCTCGACGAACCTTTCCTCATCACATGGTAGTAACATTAGTTTCACCGTTTTCCAAAATGTCATTTCTAATTTGCATGTTTTCAATAGAAAATATTTGCTCATTTCTCCGATATTCTTATAATATATGTGTTCTTGTTTTTTTTGCGTTTTAGGAATGGGATCCAACACAGGAAGAACTGTTGGCAAGATGGGACTCCAGGGACTATGTGTCCGATCATGCCTGGTACCAACTTCACTTACAAATTCCAGCCTAAGGATCAGATCGGAAGCTATTTCTACTACCCCAGCACCGCGTTGCACCGTTCCGCTGGTGGGTTCGGTGGTCTCCGTGTGAACAGCCGTCTTCTCATCCCCGTCCCGTACGCTGACCCAGAAGATGACTATACCGTCTTGATCGGTGACTGGTACACTAAGAGCCACACCCAGTTGAAGAAATTCCTTGATGGCGGTCGTACTCTTGGCCGTCCAGATGGTATTCTCATCAATGGAAAGTCCGGAAAAGGTGATGGATCCGATGCGCCCCTCTTTAACCTGAAACCTGGAAAGACCTATAGGGTTAGGATCTGTAACGTGGGTTTGAAGACATCTCTCAACTTTAGGATTCAGAATCACAAGTTGAAGCTCGTTGAGATGGAAGGATCGCACGTGCTCCAGAACGATTACGACTCTCTCGACGTTCATGTCGGTCAGTGTTACGGAACCATCCTTACCGCTAACCAAGAAGCTAAAGATTACTACATGGTTGCATCCTCTAGGTTCTTGAAGTCGGTTATAACTACAACTGGTCTTCTACGCTACGAGGGAGGAAAAGGCCCCGCCTCTTCGCAGCTACCCGCTGGTCCAGTCGGCTGGGCTTGGTCCTTGAACCAGTTCCGATCTTTCAGGTGGAACTTGACCGCCAGTGCTGCCAGGCCTAACCCTCAGGGATCTTACCACTACGGAAAGATCAACATCACACGCACCATCAAGCTTGTCAACACTCAAGGCAAGGTCGATGGAAAGCTCAGGTACGCGTTGAACGGAGTCTCGCACACTGACCCGGAAACCCCATTGAAGCTCGCCGAGTACTTTGGTATCGCCGACAAGGTATTCAAGTACGACACCATCACCGATAACCCAACCCCAGAACAAACCAAGAACATCAAGATCGAGCCAAATGTTCTTAACATCACTCACCGCAACTTTATTGAGGTTGTGTTTGAGAACCACGAGAAGAGTGTTCAGTCTTGGCACTTGGACGGTTACTCCTTCTTTGCCGTCGCGTAAGTGAAAAAAAAACAAACAATCAATTCTTTTAGAACAAGTAACCAAATACTTTCTTTCACAGCAGGTAACCTATATCATTTTAACCTAATTTTGAAATTCACTTTGTTTTCAAAGTGTCGAGCCAGGGACTTGGACCCCAGAGAAGAGAAAGAACTACAACCTTCTTGATGCAGTGAGCAGACACACAGTCCAAGTCTACCCAAAATGTTGGGCAGCAATTTTGCTCACATTCGACAACTGTGGAATGTGGAACATTCGATCTGAAAACACCGAGAGACGTTACTTAGGACAGCAGCTTTACGCAAGTGTCTTGTCGCCAGAGAAATCGCTGAGAGATGAATACAACATGCCTGAGACAAGCCTCCAATGTGGTCTAGTCAAGGGCAAACCTAAGCCTAACCCTTACGCTGGAGCCTAAGTTAAATTTTACAAAGAATACAATACATTTTAATGCAACAAAAGACTTTGGATTCTTCTGTTGATACAATCGATCGAGAGACGTTTACTCAACGGATTTATTCTTCTGGTTTTGGGTCTTTTCTTTTTAATTATTTTAATTTAATGAAATTATTTTTTTAAAGTATATGGTTTATTCGTACATACATGACATTGAAATGTATGTATGTCTATCCCTTAAGTAATTTTTTTTTTTCTTTCTTTTGAAAAGACGCATTAATTTTCTCTTTTTTTTCTTCTTAATTATTGTTTTGTTTTGTTCTTCACTTTTTTTGTAACGCGTATATGTAATGTATCCATAATCTTCAACGTCATAAGCAGAGAGATCTTATTTGTCTGACATGAGTTTTTTGTTCCTTAATCGCCAAACTTGAGACTCTTGGAATTTATCATATTCAGATTATCTTAGATCAATCACCAAAATTCTTCATGTAACAGCTTGAAAATCTTATCTATAGAGTTCAATACCATACAGAGGAAGAAATTTAGAAGAATTTTTAGTATGTATTGTACATCACATATAACATGGCTCAGAAGATAATAACGAAATGAAACGAAGAAGATACAAAAAACACTATACAAGGAAGTAATTCTCTATAGCCTAGAACGGTAGAACCGTGAAAGGTAAGTAAAAACACACTTCAGTGTCGACGTCTGTCATTCCATTTTTCCACATCTAAAGACTTGGATTTGCTTTACTGTTATTATATACACTGAATCACTAACACAAGTAACAACAAAAATTGGAAGAAAATAATAAAATTCAAATCTTCTTGATCTCGCTGAATTCTACAATCTCTCATCTTCTTAAGGCTCCTTATCTCGTGATTCTTCAACGCCCGGTGTTTCCTTGAGCGAAAACTCATCCAGACTATCGTTTTCTGTATCGACATGAACAAGCTCTTTGAACATTGTCATGACTTGAATCATAGTTGGTCTTTTGAATGGCCGATCATCCAAACACTGAGACGCAATCTTCAAGTAATGAATTAGCTCAAGGTCGCCAGATTTATCTGTTACTAGCTCCGGATCAAGAATCTCAGCTCCTCTTTTCTCCCTGTAGAGTTGTTTGGCCCATCCTACCAGGTTGTTGTCTTCACCAAACTCCTCTAAATCAATCGGTTTCTTGCCTGAGAGGAGCTCGAGAAGTATAACTCCATAGCTGTACACATCTCCTTTTGCCGTGCACCGGAAACTCTGGTAATACTCTGGTGGAACATACCCAGGAGTACCCGCGAGTGTACTCACGCTCAAGTGAGTATCCAGAGCGCTCACTAGCCTTGCCATACCAAAATCCGAGACACGAGCTACGAAATCTTGGTCTAGAAGAACGTTGCTTGACTTCATATCCCTGTGAATAATATGAGGAATGCAGCTGTGGTGCAGGAAAGCTAGCCCACGTGCAGCTCCTATTGCAATTTTCTTCCTCGCAGACCAATCAAGAAAGATTCCTCCCTTCTTGGTCTTTTCGTGTAGAACTGTCTCTAAGCTTCCGTATTTCATGTACTCGTAAACAAGAAGTCTCTCTTCGCCGATCTTGCAATATCCAAGTAGCGGTACCAAATTTCGATGTTTGATTTTTCCAATAGTTTCCATCTCCGCCATAAACTCTCTATCACCTTGACCCGTGACTTGAATCAGCTTCTTGATCGCAACAACAGATCCATCAGTGAATTGAGCCTTGTAGACATCTCCAAACCCACCTGATCCGATCATACTATCAGCACTAAACCCATTTGTGGCTTCTAAAAGGTGTGCGAAAGTAAGTTTTCGCAGCGGCTTCTCAAAGGTTGCAACATTGATGCTCAGTGGTTCAGGAACACTGGAGAGCTTCCAACTGCTGCTACTAGAGGTCGGAAGGCTCTCAATGTATTTCTCTCTCTGTTTTTCTTTCTTTTGAACCTTCCTTACTCTGTAAAGCACCATAATAAGCATTACAAGACACATGAAAGAAAACACAATCCCTGTGATCACCACAGTCGGTATACTCAGTTTCTTAGGATGAGTATGGGATCCCGTGGGCCGAACACCAGAGCTGCAAGGTAGCAGAGGAACTCCGCAGAGACCAGAATTGTTGGCGTAATTTGTGACTGGAAACGTTGTAAGTTGGCCTCCGAATGGGATTGGTCCGGTTAGATTGTTGTTAGAGACATCTAAGTCACTAAGAAAAGAGAGCCCTCCAAGTGATCCAGGTAAGAATCCTTGGAGATCATTGTGAGATAGATCAAGAACCCCGATTGCTTTCAATCCCCCGAAGCTATCTGGTATGGTTCCGGTTAACAGATTATGTCCTAGATTCAAGACCTGAAGGTACCCCATTTCACCATACCCCAAAGGAATAGAACCTGAAACTGCATTGTAGGAGAGGTCTAAGTAAATCATGCTTCCGTTTCTGCTGAACGTGTACATGGTCATGCCTGAGTATATCCGAGTCCTGGGACATGAATGAACCATCGGAAAATGCTCTAACCGTTCTGCACGAATGCCTTCAAACTCAACCAAACCGCCTGCACCTCTGCAATCCGTCCCACCTTCATTCCTCACAAACGAAAATTGTTTACCAGAGACGCTTCCAGGCATCACCCGTCCAGCCTGACTAGCAAGTTCAGCTGGGAGATTCCCAGTTAGATTGTTGCTGTTAAGATCAAGCCAGATAAGGCTCTTGCACTTCCCAAGCTCATGTGGAATGTTACCAGTCAAAGAATTGTTCCCAAGTTGCAGGATCGCTAATTTCTCGAGGTTTCCTATTGCTACCGGGATCTCGCCTGTAAGCAAGTTACTAGAAAGGGAGATCCAAAGCATGTTGGTGCATTTGGAGATCGATTCTGGAATAAAACCGGTTAAGAGATTGTTGTTTAGGATTAACGTTTCCAAGTTTCCTCCATCAACACAAATGTCGTCTGGGATTCCACCAGTGAGATTGTTCGCCCACATAACTAAGTCTGAGAGTTTCGGCAATGTCCATATCTCCTTTGGAATCGGACCAGTGAGAGCATTGAAGCTAAGATCTATCGTCTTCAAGCTCTTGCAGTTACCAAGCTCTACAGGAACAGTTCCTGAGAGGTAGTTGTTGGCAATAAGCAACTTCTCCAGAACTGAAGAAATTTGAAGAGAGCACAAGCCAGATGGTACTCTTCCAGTAAACTCGTTTGAGCTGAGATCAAGAACTCGTAGATTACTACAGTTGGTGAGCGAAATCGGAACAGAACCTGAAATGTTGTTGAAGGGCAAGTAAAGATGAGAGATTCTTGGGAGTTTACTCACGACGGTGGTTATAAAGTCGCCGGTGAGCTTGTTGTTTCCCAAATTCAGGGTTTGTAATGAGCCACAAGAGGTGAATGCTAGCGGAAGCTGACCAGTGAGTCTGTTTCCAGAGAGATCGAGAACCTCTAGAGTACGACAAAGAAGAGAAAGCTCCGTTGGAATCTCGCCGGAGTAAAGGTTGTGTGAGAGTGATAGCAGCTTCAAATTCTGGAAATTTTCCCAATACCTATCGCCGGGAATTTTGCCGGCGAGACTGTTCCGAGAGAGGTTTAGCGTTTCAAGGAGCTTACAATTGGACAAGCTAATCGGGAATGTGTCGCCGGAGATGTTGTTCTGTGATATACTGAATACGGTGAGGTTCCCACAGAGGCCAAAACTGAGACGAGAGAAGTCACCGGAGAAATTGTTTCCGCCTAAATCGAGGTGTTTCAGAGACGCCGGGAAATTGGATATGAAAGTCTCCGGAATCTCATCGGAAAAGAGATTATTCGAGAGATCAACAGTGGTGATTCTCTTGTTCCTCGTCGACGGAGAAGTCTTCAATTTCCCGGCGAGCTTGTTATGCGAGACATTAACAGAAACCAGATTCAAACAGCTGGAGAAAACGTAATCCACCATTGAATGATCCGTAATCAAGTTTGAAGATAAATCCAGAACCTCGAGAGAACATCCTGAAGAGGAAGAAGAAGAAGAACCAGAGGAAAAGCTGTTTCCTTGCAAATAAAGTTTCCGGAGATTCGATAACGCCGTGAGATTACTGAGACTTAGGGTTCCGGTAAGACCACCGTATCGGAGATCGAGAGCAATGACTCGCCCATCGTCAGAGCAAGAAACGCGTCGCCAAGAACATGGGTCACGACCCGACCCGTGTTTCCAATTATCCAGAACGTGGTTAGGATCGGACTTAACGGAGATTTGCTTAAACGCCGTTAACAGAGCAGCTTCGGTGACGTCGTCTCCGAGTAGCCGTCTGCCACGAGCGTCCACTATTAGAAACAAAACGAGAAAGCAGAGGATAATGAACTGCCATCGTTGTTGCTTCATGTTATGTAGTAGCACACAAAGTGTTCGACAGAATCCCCTAAGACTGAAAATTCAAGCTCAAGGATCTTCTTTTTGGCTTATCCTCTCCATAAGGACCTGAATATTTCACCGGAGAAGAGGTCGCAACACTGAAATACAAAGAGAAGTTAAGATTAAATTTTTCCTGAAAATAGGAGTTGGTAAAATCAAGGAAGAATGAAGAGATACATACATGGATATATGTGCTTAGAGATTTGTGAAGAAGCAAAAAAAGCGTAATCAAGGGCTGACAGGTACGGAGAAAGAGAAAGGAGAAAGTACACAGAGACAGAGAGAGTTCTATGAGTGAAGAAAGACAACGGAGATGGTCTTCGACAGTGTTGTCTCCCAAAGTACGATGTTGCAGAGATGGTCGGATCATGAACACACACACATTAAAAAAAAAAATGTTGAATTCAACCAAAGAAACAAAAGGGCTCTCTGGTTTGAAGATTCCACAGGCTTTTTACATACATAAAGGAAGCGTGTTTAGTACGACCACTACATAAAAACGAATTTCGACCCGGAAGAAAAAAGAAAGAAAAAGAGAGTGCTTTGTTTATTTTTATTTATTTTGCTTGTAAAAAATGAGAAGCTGTGAAAGTCTTTGGAACTATATTATCTCGTGACAGCTTAAGATAAGAATCAAAGAAGAAGAAGAGAAGAAGTTAATGAGTCTTTACCTTATTTAGTCTCTTTGTTGGACAAAAAAAAATGTAAAAGCGAAAGAGAAGAAATTTTGGCAAAAGAGGAGGAAGAAAAAGCTAAAGAAGACAAAAGAAAGAGACTAATCTTACGTGAAAAGAGGATGATATATGCATCATCATCATTATTAAAGACTAATCTTTTTGCTAATTATTAAAGTCCCACATTCCCACCTTATAGAGTTATAGTATTCGTGCAATCAAATTATATTGCAATTGACCAAACTCCACGTTAATTGTTTTTTTTTTTTAATACTACTAGTATACTCAATATATTTGGGTTTTACAGATTTAGCTAGGGAGAGAATCTTTTTATAAATCTAACGAAAGTTCTGCTTTGTGGGGGAAGATCGACTAGATTTGTGTGCTTTTCAAGTGGTCTCGTGTTAACGTCGATGGAATCCACAAACCCTGTATTATTTTGTGCTGTGCAACATGTTAAATTTAGAATTTGTTCGGTTTTCATATCTCTTGGAACTAAATCTCTTTCCCAATGACGAAATAGGATTCAAAGGCAGGTAGTAGTAATTAAAGTATATGATGATGATACCAAAACCACAAACACATGCCTGAGCTTCGAATTTTACAAAATACCTCAACTGATGGGTTTTGTTTAATAGAAATTAACCCAAATATATCATAATAGGGATTTTCAAAATATCATAAAAATTCCGGATGATTTATTTGGGTCCTATGGAAGAATAATCATATCCTCTCAGGTTACATCAATCGTCGTATTATACGATCACTAATCACTCCGCACGAACGTCTCTCGCTTCCATCCATAAATATCTATCTAGCACGATTAATAATAAATAACGAGCGATAATTACAAATATAGAACACCTAATTCGCCACCACCATTCTCGTATTTTTCTACGCGTGTATGTAACTTTATAACCCTACACGCACGGAGCACTAGCTTCTTGTCTACGACAGGCGCCCCTCCATTTTTCAATGTTTCGATGTTTTTGATTTCTACCAAGTGACCAACTTTATCAAATTTTGGTTAATATTTCTCTCTTGTACGTTCTATACCTACAAATACATGTTTCAAACGTAAGTGTCTTTTAGCAAAAATAAAAAACGTAAGTGTCTTGACCAGAATAAAATGTAAAGATCGAGTTTTCAACGATTTACATGATTATCACCTCAAATGTTGACCAATTATGCATGCAAAGCAACAGACGTGACGTGACGGTAGCTTGATTATATATGGTTGGTACGAGATTAAGTTATAATTATCAGATGAGCCGCCTGTTAAAACTTAAAAATTATCTTTGTACAATGCATACGTAGTTTTTAAAAACTACCAACTATTCTTACGTATAAAAATTATTTATCAATTTTAATGATTAATTATTTACGTGCATGTCTATAATTATTAAGAAAAAAAAATGGATGTCGTTGATTTTTTATTAGTATGCAATGATCCATCGTGCATTCGTGCTTGCACTGCTCGAGGGTAGTTGCGCAGAACAAATAAAAAAGGACTTATATTTTTCGTTCCTATCTAACTTTCACCTAAACTCAATTATAGGTTTGGTTAGTCGTCTAGCTGAAGGTATTAAATAAGTATATAAGAGAAACCTAGCTGGATCGTCATAGATAAAATTTTCGCACAACGTTTCGAAATCCATGGGATAGATTACGGAGTAAAATACGAATATTAACTCAGGCTGGCAGGCTTCATTAATTAACTAATTTCATACTCCATATAGAATTCTGAAAAATATAATAAACAAAACATGAGGTTATAAATTAAACCCGTGACACATTAACATATTTTGGGGAAGAGACCAAAATGATCTCTGAGTTCCTCCTTTCACGCATGCATATTCTATACAAGTCTCTTTTTTATTTAAAAGTCGTTGGATGTATTTTTTTTTTTTTTTGTAAATTTGGTAGAAGGTTTATTAATAGACTGATAGGGTCCAAAACCTGTATAAATAATACTAGTACTATATAGCGAGGGTCCTGAGAAGATGTATTGTTTAAGACTACTAACTCTGACGGGATAATAATAAGTTAATTAAGTACTAATTTGAGGCTGTTAATGAAAAAAATTAATACGAGAGTGCGCTCGAGGGCCCGGACTAGCCGTAGGGTTGCGTCTTTTTTTTTTTTGTCAGTTTCTATTCTTCGGGACGCACGAGCGCACACATCTTGTGACACCCAAAGATTCTCTCTCGTGGTCCATTTAACTGTTATGTTTTCATTTATGGATTTATTATTTTTATATTAGAGTTTAATCTTAGACCAATATTTATATACAGAAAACACTTGTTGAACCCAAAAATAAAGAAAAACACTTTGATCCAAAAGACCAAAATGTATACAGATTTTTTGTTTTTGTTTTTGTTTTGTTTTAATACCTTTTGGTAGAAGTATACAAAATGGCTCGAAGAAAAGACGAAAAGTCGATACGATTTGAAAATCTTCTTATCCGTCACTTTCATGCATTTACAATGAAGATGCTGATATTTAAAGTACTTGTTTTCTTAAAATAGCGGAATCATCGCATTCAAATCTGCCTAGTTTTTGGTACAACTATCCCCTTTTCCACGTAAACTTGTTCAGTTTATCTCTTTTTTTTTTTTTTTGATCAACGTTCAGTTTATCTCTTTCTCTTTTCTTTTTCCTTCATTTTTGGTCAGATGACTCACATTTTTAGTAGTCTCGTTTGACTTTTTAACAGCATAGAATTATACAGACTCACGATGACATGCATGTGTGTATCGTTACAAATCAAGTAAATAACCCATCGATGGTTTGTACAAACTTCAACCAATCGATACTATTCCTACTACGTATATATATATATATATATAGCTAGTAATTATAGCTAGAAAAAAAAAAACATCAAACTCGTTACTGTACACTGTATAGAGAATAAATAAAGAAAGTCCAAATTAGATATATTGTTTATGATGATGATGATGCTTGATATGATAAATACTAATAGTAGCTACGTTGCTTCAAATATAAGGCTTCTCTCGTCGCTGTCCAACACAAAAGCCAAAATCGACGTACGACACTGATATTTGTTTACTCACAATTAGGCCCCATTCAAATGCAAGCCTTCTTCTCAAGTGTAAGACTAGGCGCGTAGAATTCACACAATCAATTCATTCAACAATCAACGCACACATGAACCCTGAGAGTTCTTTGCACGCAACCAAAATTGGCAATATCCAACTAAAATAAAAGTAAAATATTCGACCACACGGACACATTTTATGACCAAAAGTTTGTCTAAAACATGTGAACAATTATTATACGATAACAATATCGAGTTCGTGTTATCGAATATCTAGTTTATGATATTGTTACGCCAGTTCCATGGTCTCTTTTCTGACCTGTTATTTTCACCTGATATTGTACACTATCGGATCGCCCATTGAAAAATACAAGTAGTAAAATAACTTAAGTACGTGGGTCGAGTAATCAACTTGTGAATATTACGTTTAATATCAACTTCTGAGTAAAGTCGATATCTAGCTAGGAAGATTTTGGTTCAAAATTTTGTTCCTGGCTATAAATCTAACGTTGAAGTTATAGGAAATATATAATAAATAAAGGCATGCCTCTATAGCTCACTCATCACTGAGTCATTATTCGTATTTATTTAATAAATCTACAAATTAAGGGAAAGTAAACATCCTTCGTTGACAGTGTTAAAAAAAAAAAAAAACATTTTTCGTTGAGAAGTCAATCGTCGACCCATGTTGACGTACGTAGTAATATGGCACTGGATTTTAGAGTTTATATATAATGGGCCTTAATAGCCCAATATACTGGGCTCATCATAAAAAAATATACTTGAGCTTCCGACATGCTGTTGTTGTCCAGATCGGACGGCCAGCTGTGCGCTCTGGGTTTATGTCATGTGGGACCCACGTGTCCATCTTCAGCTCTTTCTTTTTTTCAATGATGTCCATTAAACCATTCTGTTCGCTTTAACCATTTCGTAATTTTCGTTGATGCAGGTTCTGCCTTCCGGTCATAATATATTCCTCCTCAGCGATGTCGGCGGATATCTCCGTCGCCTGACCGTTAGATTATTATTTTCTCTTGCTCTTCTGTTTATCTCGGGGAAGCTGCTCTCTCGCGCCGGATGAGTGGTCTATTGTCTTAAGTACGCTTTTCAACTGGATTCGATTCTCCTTCTTCTTTTTTTTTTTTTCTTTTCTTTTCTTTTCCTGGTAAATTATAGATTAGATTGTCGAATTGAGGGTTGTGTTTTGTTCATCGGAGTTCGTAGATGAGGTTGGGTTAACCTATCACTCACTATATATATATATATATATATATATATCGGCTCTTTGTTTAGAAGTAGTGATCTAAATCTAGTTACTTTAGAGGTTTACAACAATCTGGACAATTTCAGCTTTTCTCTCTGATATAGAGAATTTGATCTCTTGTCAGTCTATTTCTAATTTTGTGTTGGGATTTTAACGGACTGTTTATGGATTTAGGCATGAATGACTCAGTCCCTGAATCCGTGGAAGACAATGGTAACTCAGTACTTGCTGATCATAATGTGAATGGATCATTAGTATTGCCTGATGATGATCATGAGGGTGTTGGATCACCTCAACGATCAAACAACGTTGATCATTTTATCAGGGTTGAGTCTCCGGCTGGATCAGTGCCTTTGACGAGAAAAGGTTTCGGTTTGAAGAAATGGAGAAGGATCAAAAGAGATGGTCCTGTGAAGGACGACGCTGCTCCTGTTGATGATGGTAGTAAGTTACTGAAGCGTAATTTGACTGGTTTGGTGAATCCTCCTTCTAAACATGTGGACTTGTCTTCAGTTGAAGCAAGGCAGAGTAGTGAAGGCTCTGTTGGATCTGTGAATATGGTGCATCATCATCATCATCCAGGTGTAGTCAACGGGTTTAGTCCTGATCCTGATTGTATCTTTACTGTTGGCCAAGCGTCTGAGAACAGCGAAGAGCATAGTGGTAATGCAATAGGTACAAAGAATGCAGTAGGAGGGAAGATTGTTTCAGGTAGGCAAGGAAAAATCTGGAGTGATACTGTGAAGAGTGAAGAGCGGGTGAATATCGAGAAGGAAAAGCCTTGTTCGAGCATGGATTCCGACTTGAGAAGTAGTGATTTTGTATTTTCAAGTGGCACAGTTTCTGTTGCTAACCAAGGAGAGAAATATGAGAGATTGATGATGAATCATATTGGGGGATATAGCAAAGAAGGTCAACTTAGGGAGGAAGTTCAAACATATAGCCGAAGCGAAAATGGGTATAATGGAGAAGATCAGAGTAAGAAAAACAACAGTCATTGGACCGACAAGGATCCACTGGCAGATTCTATCAGAAGTTTTGCAGCTCTGCAGGAAGCTCTTTGGAAAGGTACGCACACAAATCTTGATTTCGATAACCATGTCAATTGCGTCAATGATCATCTTGCAAAGCTACAATTTCTGTTTCTTTTTCTATCTGAAAGAAATTGACATCTTTATGTTCTCACTGTTATATGCTATTTTCTAGTCTAACAATGCATTTGAAATGTGTGCAGAGGTTCAAAATTTACAGGCACTGGATAAGGAATCTATACCACTACGTTCGAACGCTGATGGACTGAGCTCATCAGACCAGCCAAGAAATGAAAATAGTAGAGAAGATAACTCAACATCCTCAGGATCAAAGGCACTAATCTTGAAGGAGAAGGTAAAACATCTGGAACACAAAATCGAGGAAGCAAGAGCTGCTCTGGAGGAAAAGGAAGCCAAGATCCAAGAGCTCGAAAACTCGATAATGGAGTCTGAACTCGAAGGCATTGTCCAGAGAAAAATCGAAGCCGAAATCGAGCATTTGATGCTCACAAAATCTCTGAGTTCTCTACAGTTACCCCAAGAACCTAAGAAGTTACATTCTTTGACAGAAGATCCCGAATCAAACCGTGAAGTCATCTTAGGAAAGACATGTAGGATCGGGATCTATATATCGACACAATTGATCTTGCTTGTCTCCATACTTTGGTTTCTCGTCCGTCAATACTCTCCTGCTTCACGATTAGCTATACCAACTTGAAATTTTTGGTCTTGTTGTTGTGGAATTATCAAACATTTTTGTTTCTACAGATTTGCATTTTTTGTAATATTAATAAATGTCTCTTTACCACATTGTCCTAATGGTTAACAACACTATCGATTTTTTAAAATTTTCCAGAGACAACGTTTTGAAAATCGGACAGGTTACTGAATTCTGATTTAATTTTATACTCAAAAATTACAACTAATCAAACTTGAGAATAAAATTTTGTAAATCCGTATCTTGACACACCAATTGGATCACCGGTTCTAGTGGATTCAACCAGCGATTGAACTCAATTCCAGTTTTTAAATAGACAATTTCCGGTTTGACCGGCCGGTCTGGCCTTTGTTTTAATTTTATTTAGGGTAAAAGTGTGACACGAGCAAGCCGAGCAGGTGAGTCCTGAATCCATTGATAATGTGCTATAAGTAGGCCCATTAACCGAGAAAGAGGCTTGTATTATGGGCTAGGGCCGCTAGGCTATCAGGTTAATCTAATCAAAGTAATTAGCCGAAAAAGGAAGTAAATATTTTAGTCTTGACTAAAAAGTAGTATAAAATACAAAGACATAAAATAGCTAACCACAGATTAAAAAATATATGATTTAGGGAAAAATCTCTTTAGATAAAAAATAAAATCTCTTTAGATAAAAAATAAAATCTCTCAAATCTGTGTGATTATTGGTTTAAACCTTATCTTTTTATCTTTCTTTACAATTTATAGGATAGGGGAGGGGGGATTAATATTTATATTTAAGAACAATAAAAATCTTAAATACGGTCATCTCATTACCTCTTTACCCAAGCCGGCCAAAAAAATGTCGACCGATATTTCACCCTACTCTCAAACTCACGTGGAGCCCGTTAATGGTTATCCTTCAGACAACCAGAGATGCGGCGATTCCTCTGCTCCTGCCACATACGATGATCTTGTCCGTAACTCTGCTCTCTTCTGGGAAAAGCTCCGAGCTTTACTCGGATTGACCAGCAAGACTTTGAAGTGAGTTCTTTTTTTCTTTTCATTTTTGTGTGTGTGTGTGTGTCTGTTTTGTGGTTTTAAGACCGTCTCGTTAGGTTTAAGATTGTGGAAGAGAAAGAAAAAAAACCCCCGATTTTAGGGTTGAGGTGTTGATGTTTTGTTTGTTTTTGGTGTCGATTGAGTTGAATGGTGTTTCTTGTTCTGTCATTTGTAGGATTTATCAGAAATATATGCAATTTTGTTTTGTATTGTACTCTTAAGATTCGTTTTGATTATAGATTAAGGGTTTAGGTGTTGATATTTTGTGTGCTAAGATTGATGGAAAAGCATTAGATTTGGTGTCATTTAGGGTTTAATGGAATACGGATTGGTCAAGTTTATTCATTTCATTGTGTTTTGTTGATGCAGCGATTGCGTTATGTCATCTGTCTTGCCTGTTGAATTAGGTTTATAGTTTTCTTTACCTGTCCATATGTATTTCTGAAACCATCTAGTTCATAAGAAACTGAAATCATCAAACTGGATTTAGTATTTACTGATCTCGATATTGTAATTATGATCTATGCACTACTTTAGGCTTTATGTGTTGTTTTATCTTTGGTTTCCATTAATCGATTTCTGAAAGATTGTGATATATTCTCTGTCTCTTTATAGGGTTCCTACTGTGGGAGGAAACAGTCTTGATCTGCATCGTCTTTTCATCGAGGTTACATCTCGAGGTGGCATCGAAAGGGTAGGAGTTCATGTTACCATTAAATCATATGGTTTTGTGATTGTTTTTGCCATTTTTGAGAATTGTAATGTGTTTTGTTTTTGTTACTCTAGGTTGTAAAGGATCGCAAATGGAAAGAAGTGATTGGTGCTTTCAGTTTTCCGACAACAATAACAAGTGCATCGTTTGTCTTGAGGAAGTATTATCTCAAGTTTCTTTATCAGCTGGAACATGTGTACTACCTTGAAAAGCCAGTGTCTTCAATCCAATCAACAGGTTTATTTCAACACTAAATAAAATCTAATCGTTTCTTGCCTTTTCTTTCGTTACTCTGTGACAAGCTGATATAAACCAAAATTCTTATGCTTTTCCAGATGAAGCAATGAGGAGCCTTGCTAATGACTCTCCAAACCCTGAGGAAGGTACAAGAAACGTTTCTCTAACTCTATGCCTTTTGTTTTCTTTTCTCTGTCCATGCATCAGTTTTTAGAATGTTGTATTTAGTAGTCCGTTCATTGAATAGAGTTCATTACAGCTTTTTGTAAACAAGTCATTGTCTGCAAGGCTGTTAATTCCACATTCGGGTTCTTTAGTTTTCTGACTTTCTCACATGTTAAAATATCCTAAGTTAACGTGTTACAAATATGGCACGAAAGACAAGGTCTCTCTGTTTCATTCCACAAACTAATAATTACACTTGTCTTTCTCCATTGATTCCCTTCCTTGTCCGTTTAAGATTACCGCATAGACTTGTCACATGTGTGTCTAGTTAAATTTTGACGTTAAGTTATGGAATGTGCAGGTGTTGATGAAGGACAAGTTGGGTATGAGTATCATGGATTCATTGACGGGAAGTTTGATCATGGTTACCTAATGACAGTGAAAATCGGCTCCCAAGAGATGAGAGGTGTGCTTTACCACATTCCTGAAACGCCAAGGCAGTCCCAACAAACCATGGAAACACCTTCAGCCGCTGTACCGTCATCCCAACGCCGGCATAGGAAGAAAGCAAAGTTGACTGTAGTCGATTCTCAAAAGCCCAAGTGCCACAGGAGTGGCTACAACTTCTTCTTTGCTGAGCAGCACGCTAGGCTTAAACCTGAGTACCCAGGACAGGAACGAAACATTACCAAGAAAATAGGACACATGTGGAGCAATCTCACTGAATCTGAGAAACAGGTATCGAATCATCATAAAATCACATACACGTTTATATTAAAACCACTGGTTGATCACAAAGATTTTCATCAGTGCAGGTTTATCAAGACAAAGGAGTAAAGGATGTGGAGAGATACAGAATGGAGATGTCGGAATACAAATCTTCACATGAGTCCGGAGCTGCTGCTGCTGCTGCTGCTTCTACAGTGGCTCAGTAGTTTCTCCCCCTTTTGTTGTCATCTATGTTTGTTGTAACATTTTCTTTTTCTTTAGAGAACTTGTTTTATTTTAATTTCAATGTTATGTTTTTTTGATAATTTACAGAATTTGCCATGTTTATGGTTATAGGGTTAGTGAAGAGGTTACTAGCTGCAGACCAGTGTCTTTCTTGCTGCTGTTATTAAGCATTTGCCATTTTGTAGCGTTACCTGCTCAGCTATATACTCCAGTGTCTTTGTTGGCGCCTTGTCATGTTATAGATGGACATTATATAAAAAAAAGGTCATTTAATACGGGTGTAAAAAGCGAATTTAATGGAGCTGGAGGTAGATAGAGTGAGATTTGATAACATAAGCAAAATTTCGATGGTGTGTACATAAACACGTTATCTATTGCAATCAGCCAAAGAAGTTAGGATGTGACCTGAACATTTAAAATGTACATTTTATATTGTTATTTAGAGATAAATGATGTATTGATATGGTTTGTAATCGAATAAAAAACGAACAGGGAATATTATTATTATAGTTTAGTTAAACATCTCCACATTCTAAACTCAGAACAGGATCTAAACACTCGAGTTCCTACAACAACCACAAACACAAGGAACAAAAACAAAAGACTCACAAGCCACCAATAAAGAACAGCAATGATCCTTGGACCCGCAAACCGATTTTAAACATAGATCCAGCTGCAGCCCCACCACCAAGTCCTAATCCAGACTATGCCACCACTGAACCAGCCCTTCCTGTACACATCTTTCGAACCGAGCACGAGCCTTTGGAGACCAGTTATAAGAAAGTAACACACCGGCTGGAAAAGGTAACAAAAGACACTAACTACTAGCATTTGCACAACACATCATTTACACCTTCAAGAGATCCATTCTGCCGTCTTCACTGGTTGCTGTATGAGCTCTCTTTTATTCCTTGGAGAGGGTTGTGTATACTTCTCTTCGTGCTTAAAGAAACGAATCAAGGTAGGAATGGTTCCTGCGCCTACCAAACTCAAGGAGGCTACCGTAAGTGCGGTCCCATACCCCAATAAACAGCGCCTCTGTGTCAGGGCTGAAAGATATTCCAGATATCTCCCCGAAGAAGTCGATTTCCTGCTCTGTTTCATACCCGTTTGCGACATCATAGACATGTACGAAGTCAGCCGGTTCAGCTATGGCCATGTATTTCCCATCAGATGTGTACCGAATTGACCGGATCGCTCCTAGGTTACCCTTCAAGACAGCAACGGACTGAGAAAGGTTACGGATGTCCCAAACACGGCAAGTCTTGTCCTGGTTTCCCGTTGAGAAAGTGAATCCGTCTGGATGCCACGCTGAGGCAAAGGAAAAGTCCAAATGTCCTGATAGTGTTTCCAATGTCTGCAGAGGAAATTCCAAAGATTTTGACATTGTAAAGCATATGCCTGGTGACAAACCATTTTTATAAGCTTATGTCCAGGACCACAAAAATGTACCTTTCCTGTGTTGGGATCTACAATAAGGCCCTCAGGGTTGTCTCCAACAATAGCCAGTAGTTTACCATTAGGACTCAAAGATGCGTGCTGTATCAACGAATTGAAAACAAAGAATACCATTTTTGTTAAATGATTATTAGCAGTAAAACACTTATACATTTATCACTCAGATTTGGTAAACTAGAGAATAAATGAAGTTATAAAAGCCTCAATGTAACTCATACCATTTGCTACAAGCCTAAGAGATCAAGAGTTATGCTAAATCAAAAGCAAAGAAAGACGACTTTACATTCACTGGCCAAGGAAAACGAAAATGCTTAACAAGCTGATATCTCTCCATGTCAAAGTCTCTAACTCCGCAGTCATTATTTGAAGCAGTAAAATGAAGTGCTCCACTGCCATCAGAAAACAAAAACTAAATTAGACAGAAGCAGTGACTCTTAACAACTCTACGTGGAAAGACAAGCACAAACCTGGGTTTGTTGTAGATCTCAATAGCGTTGGTTATAGCATTATCATCATAAGTCGTACGAGAGCAAAAGCTGACACCCGGTCTATCAAGATGCTGAACCATTATGGAAACAGATGAACGTTACTAATGAGAATGCATGTTGCTAATGTAAATAATCCGTAAAAAATAAACCTAGACTTACCTTGCAAATAAGTTCTCCTTGAAATCCGCCAGCAACTAGAAAGTCGTCTTTTACAGCAAGTGTACTTACTTGAGTCTGCGTAAATCCTTCCAGCAGACTTCCAGGATGTTTCTAAACGAAGCAAAAACCAGTTTAGGACAACATATAGCTAGATCAAAGACGAACTTCTACGATCTGGCAAAAACTAACCTCAGATGGTGCAACATGACCACGAACATTGAGAACTTCATGCTTTCCAGACGTTAGAGAAGAATAATGTGTAACCAGGAAATTTGACATAAGATACACGTCGTGCTTTGAAGTTGCCCATACCAAATTCCTCAACTATGACACAGTAAAGATTCTTGATCAGATAGAGAGTATAAGTAGTAGACAAATGTTATGCCCTCAACCATGCCAAAGACAATATATAAATCAAAACCATAAAGTACTATCAACTACGTAGTTCAAATTAGCGAACTCTAAAATAAACAAAAAACCTGGAAATGAAGTATAGTAGATTTAATAGATCTTGAATTCCGCCAAAAGTCATAAAATAGTCCCCCTTTCTGTGTGACCTTGCAAACCTGAATCCATACAATAAAATGATGTTATTAAGTAACTGTGCGCACCTCCAACATTAACACAACAATGGAGGATCAGAGAATCTAACCCTAACCTTTTCGGAGGATTCCCCAGAGTTAGGGACATTTTCATAATTCTTATACTGTTCTAACCTAGTCTGTCTGTATTTCTCTCTAGAAATACTAAGCCTGTCCCAAGGAATCCCCTGGATATCTTTCCCTTTCCGAGCTTGCTCCGCCGAGGTATCAGCTACTTTAGAATTCTGAAACCAAACAACACGAAATTACAACATAGGTTATATTAGAAAGAAACAAAAAAAGGAAGCTGAACAAATTATAATAAAGTAGCATAGATAATAAAAAAAAAAAAGAAAAGCCAAGATGATCAGGGATGCTTACCGACTCAACTTCCTCAACATCAGAATCAGATGCACCAAGATCATCGCCACGAAACTCCTCGTCCATATCATCTTCGACATCTTCCATCTCGTCATCTACGTCTTCCATGTACTCAGCATCATCTCCTTGATAATTGGACATTTTTTGGTAGATAAATAAAGACACCTGCATATACAAAACACAACCATATTACCAAAATCCACCATAATAAGAAACACTATATTCCTTACTAAAAAAGAAAAGGGGTTGCTAGACATAGACTATGCATATAAACAGTTATTAGGATACCAAAAACAGCTTAAAATGTTAATAATACACATTGACAAAGTAAACAAGACACTAAAACATGCAACTCTTACTAGGCTAATCCAATTCAGAGGATTTGTATATATAATTGAGGACCTATAAAAAAACCAAAGGAGACGGAATTGGAAACAAAAAAAAAGAAAAGAGGATGAACTCAATCTGAAACAATAAATTCACACAATACATAGAACACAAACCCTAACAAACACATCATGAAACTTAGCCGGTGAAAGGAGTAGAGAATACAGATCAAAGGGGAACAAAACCTAGGATAAGCAGGAATCAAAACGAAAATGATTTATCTGCTTCTGTGGTTTCGATCCAGATTAGAGCAAAACAAGCCTGGAATATAGTGCTAAATTCTCAAGGTCATGTAGAGAGTTAGCGACGGGATCGGCCGCCAGAGAAGAGAAAGAAATGAAAACGGGAAGAGAGAGATCAATTTTATCTTTCAGAGTAACCAATCAAACTACATGAGTGGGGAAAGGGACGGTCCGATTTTTTTTCTTTACGGATTAGAATTTCTTTTGGAATTAATTACTCTGATTGTCTTTGGTTAATTATTAAACCATATTTATGTTACAAGATTTGGTTATGTGACATATTCACCCTTAACAGATGATAAAAGTTTTGGTTTATATTATTCTGCGAGAGATTTTTCTGGTGTTATTTGTTTAACATTATCTTGGGAACACAAGACATCACTACGCTACGCTCGCTTCGCTACTTAATTATCAAAATACCACCACGTCGTGTTTTTTGGTCCCATGCCCATCCAAAATCCGATATTTACACTCATAAGACTCAAAATTCGAGGCCCATGCAACCTCAATATGATGTGAAATACTAGCTGCTACTACTACTACTACTACAATGTTAATTCCGATGCAACATCTCGACTCGATGTGGGAAGGATGAAAGCTTCTAGAGAGTTCCATGCAATGCATCATCCAATGTTGTTTTCTCTTTTCTTCACAAAAATTGCTGTAAATTTTGTTATTTATTTCGCATAATCGCATTCGCGTTACTTTTTTCTAGCTAATAAAAGGCATGAATCACTCTACCTGTTCTATGTCATTGTGACATTTGTACGAGTTAGAAACGTACGTCTACATTTTTGTGTTGGAATTTGAAAGAAAGTTCGATCTAATAACCTACGTTTTCTTTTCTGCAAACACTTACTAATTAGTAATTTACTATATGCTACATGTAAAGCATATAACCAAATTTATGTGATTTATAATAAAAATTCTAAACAAACCATAGAAATTAAGAAAGGAAAAAAACAAAAATCTTTATTCTTGGCTTTGTGATTATTTGGAATTGTTGGTATGGGTTAATTAAATAAATGGGCTTTTTTGTTGGACAAAAATAAATGGGCTTTAAGACACTTGATTTCACCCGGTAAATTGGCATATTACACACACACACGCACAAAAAAATTCGCCGCTGCCGGGGATCGAACCCGGGTCACCCGCGTGACAGGCGGGAATACTTACCACTATACTACAACGACCTTGTTGCTAACTTTCCCACAAACATATAACTGAACCAATCAAAACTAAACTTCAGCTGGGAATTTCTCTAGTGCATAAAATTCCTTCCACCTGTTGACAACAAAATATCCATCTATGCGTATGTGTCTCACCTGCACGGTCAGAATTAAATTCACAATTTATTGGCCGGACTTACTAGTGGATAGAGAGTAGTGTGTTCCATCTTAGAAAAAATTGTGGTTTTGATTGGTAAAATAATAGAGCACAAGTCAAATATTTCATAACAATGTGAATAAAACGAAGTGTAGCTAAAATCTTAAGGGGACAATTTGAACTAGTCGGTTTCGGAAAATGGTAGTACCTGCCGTGCCTGTTGCCGGTAGCCCAGTCAATGACAAAGTCAATACGATTACTTTTTTTTTTATTAACTTCTCACCAAGTTGTATTCATTTCTATATTGTGTTTGTTCATTGTCTTTTTCCTCGGATATGATTTTTCTTGCTTGGAAAGAAAACAAGTGAAGAAATACGCAGCTTTAAATTCAGAGTCGGAGAAAGAAGAAAACTACATCAATCTCTGCTCAAAATTGAAGACCAACGAAGACGGAGACTGAGAAGAAGAGATGCATCTGTACAATGAATGGTTACCGCCACCTGTAGCGGAGGAGACGAAGAAGGAGAAAGAGTCCTTCGCTCGTGTCGTGCGCAGCGTCAAAGAGTTGCACCGACCTGATGATCCTGAGTCTGTTTACGCCACTCTTAAATGGATCTCCGTTATCGAACTGTGAGTCCTCGATTTTGCGCTTTGATTGCAAAACCCTCCTTCATTTTTAATTTTTGTTTCTTCGTTCGAATTGCTTCCTTCCTATTGCGATTTGAAGACGTGGATGTTGAATTTAAGAGACGATTAGCCCACTTTAGAATCGAGTCAGTGTACCGAAATTATTTGCAGGGGTTTTGGGTGTTCGTGATACATGACTAAGGTCTAAGAAGACTGATATATTATGTCGTAATTTGCGTGAAGTTTGTAGTTGGGTGAAGAATTTTGCTAAAATCATGCATTCTGGTCGTCGAATATCATTTTACTGACCGATTCCAGTTAATTTCTGGTTATCTCTTGGTAGCTGGGATTAATTGTGTTAACTTGCATCATGTTGTTTTATACTGTATTTCGTAAGTTGGGGATACTTGGTTCTTATGACGCTGCGCTTGGCTATTGTCTGATGACGTTTTTCTTACCTTTTGTAGCTTTGTAAGAGCGAAAAGTGAATTGTCCGTGGAAGATGTTACTGAACTCGTTGAAATTGGCTTACAAATTTTTCATTCATCTGAGAATAAGTTGTATGCACAGGTTCGTAAACTAATACCACAATAAACTCCAGTTACCTACCCGTTTCTTCATATACCCTTTGCTTTTTCCACTTTATTACGCTTACCTTTCGAGTGTTTGGTTCTGGTACAATAGGTTAGATGGGGTAATGTTTTAGTCAGACTGATCAACAAGTATCGTAAGAAGCTGTCTTTAGAAGTTCCATGGAGGCCCTTATATGATACCTTGATTCATGCACATTTCAGCAGGTTAGTCCTCTTTGAATATCTGGCTTACATGGGTCCTTTTTCTTAGATACTCATGGAGGGAACAAATTTTATAACTCCGTTTTGGATGTCTTGTTTCTTTTTTCATGTTTAATGTTTTATATGTGTACCGTCTGAAGGAGCCCGGGTCCTGAAGGTTGGAGGTTGAGACAACGACACTTTGAGGCTGTTACTTCTCTCATTCGTTCCTGTAGAAGATTTTTTCCACAAGGGGCCGCATTGGAGATATGGTCTGAATTCATGTAAGTTGTTGCCACAGGTCATATTACTCACTAGTTCACTCCCATATACCATGTCCCTATGATGGCACGCCAATCTCTGTGAATCAATGCGTAAAGACATCATATCAAAATCCTACGACTAGGATACCTGTATAGATGTCTTCCCGTAATAGGTTGCAGTATGGGTTAGACTGCTTGTCTCTTTAAGACTATGTGTAGCTAGATTTCTGGCTGTAATAAGGGTCTATTAAATGCTATAGCTGTGCTCACCTTTTTCTTCTACCCACATTCAGGTCTCTTTTGGAGAACCCTTGGCATAATTCCTCGTTTGAGGGCGCTGGCTTCGTGAGATTGTTCCTTCCAACGAACCCCGAAAATCAGGATTTCTTCTCAGAGTAAGGACAAAAATTTGTTTGGTGACCAGTGATATCTTTGATTTTTCACATTAACAAAGTAATTACATCGATTCTCTTCTTCTGACCTTGTAGAAAATGGATTAAAAACTGTCTAGAGCTCTGGGATTCCATACCAAATTGTCAATTTTGGAACAGTCAGTGGACTGTTGTGCTAGCTCGTGTGATAAAAAACTGCAGCTTTATCGACTGGGAGTCCTATTTTCCCATGCTTTTCAGTAGATTCTTGAATATGTTTGAGGTGCGTGAAGTTTTCCTAGTGTTGCTAGTGATTAAGTCTTTTGGATTCCAACCTAAATGTCCAAAGATCTTGACTTCAGTTTTATTTTGAAAAAATATATAATTTTGCTCTCACGAAATGTCAAGACAGCTGCGCTGGAAAATAGAAAACTTGTATGCTTGAAAAGCACTGGGCATGTATAGATGGCAAAAAGTAAATGAGATTCAGAAGCTTCTGTCTTGTTTTTTGTCGTCTCCCAGATTCTGGTTTCCTTTTCCTCCATACACCAGATTCTTATTTGATTCAGTTTTAGGTTCCTGTTGCAAATGGAAGTGGATCATATCCTTTTTCAGTTGATGTTCCCAGAAACACAAGATTCTTGTTCTCTAACAGGACTACTACTCCATCAAAATCAATTGCACAATCTATTGTAAGTTGTTTTGAATTTTTCTTTAACTGCATTTGTCTGCTGTATCTGACTAATAAATCTTTATGGGATGGATTTCCTGCCTTCTGTTTCAGGTATACTTTCTGAAACCTGGAAGGTCGGCACATGAACACTTCAAGAAATTGGTCAACCTCTTAGAACAGTTTGTTTACTTAAACCTTTAAGACAAATTGTTCATTTATTTCGTAAACTACAAAGTTACAACTGTTCTACTTACTGCTTCTCTATTGTTTAAATGTAGATATTATCATCCATCTAATGGTGGCCGCTGGACATATTCATTGGAACGGTTTTTGCTCCACCTGGTGATAGCATTCCAAAAGCGACTACAGCGTGAGCAGCAGTAAGAAAATAGCAATATTACCATTTTTAATGCATTTAATCATATTGGCGGTCTCTTGATTAGATCATAATCCTACAGGGATCCAGATAGTATGTCAGCAGTCTGTTTAGGAAAGCCGGAAAGGATAGCCTTTGTTGACGTGGTGTTGAAGTTGATTGATCGTGGTCAATATAGCAAGAATGAACATCTTTCCGAGACAGTTGCTGCAGCGACATCCATGTTGTCTTATGTGGAGCCCTCTTTGGTCCTTCCTTTTGTGGCGTCTCGGTTCCATTTGGCTTTGGAAACGGTTTGTAGTTTGTTTTCGCTTCCTTATCTTACAGACTTTTGTATCTTTACTTAACTGTATCTATTTCTCATTTCTGGCTAAATGAAAGTTCTCGTCTATCAATTAACTTCCTAACAAATGTTTATGTATAGTCAGACAACTGCCACCCACCAGTTGAAAACTGCTATGATGTCCGTAGCATTTGCTGGCCGGTCAATCCTGCAGTCATCCACATCAACTGCTAAAGCACAAGGTCTTGGTGGCGATTTGGATGATAGGATGTTTCTTGATCTCATAGGGATTTCTCTATCAAATGCATTGCTTGGTATGGATGCCAATGACCCACCTAAAACCTTGGCAACTATGCAACTGATTGGCTCCATATTTTCCAATGTAAGTTCTTTAACCTTGAATATTTTAAACATTCACTGTTAAGACTTGTTTCTTTATCCGGTTTTATCCTTGCGTGTTGCAGATGGC